ATTAATGAGATCAATAACAATTTCTGCAAAGGTCCAATTAATTTTAATTGAAAGAGGAAGGACCGGTGTTTCGTGGAGTTAAGATTCTGGATCCAGACTTAAATATATCCTGGTGTGATGAATCCTTCCATGTTAAGGAGGGAGGATAGATGAGAATATAGGACCCGTCCAGACTCCGATATAAAGTTTTATCCTCTCCATGAGAGATATAAAGAATATATTGATATGATCAATCCGTTCCATGCTTCGGAGAAATAAAATAACACCAAACCTTACGCTATTATACACAAATACATACTCTTGGCAAAACTCTTAGTTTTTCCCTGTATAAACCAAATCATTACGTAGAACCTTTCAGAACTTTTGTGAATCTTTAGATAAACTCTTATACAGGCCTACGGTTGATTTTTTCAACTTCAATATTCCCTGGTGGTTACCCTGCGCGCAGAGATTAATTTGATTGAGGGAAATCACGCTTAAACTTAAATTTAAAGTGCTCACAAGGGATATAAAGATCAATTTTCAAAACTATAAGGGCCAGACTTCTAAATAAGGCTGGGAACGTTCCGTTGATACAATTCAAAATAAAGCATATTTCCGTTTGTTGAAAAAAAAATACGATTTTTCTCGTTCGTTACCAAACTATTCCGTTCCGTTTCGTTAGCGGAACTTTTTACAGCCCTACTTCTGTATGCTCCGATCCTATACAATCTTAAATTGAATCAGAACAGATACGATATCAGAGAATTATTGGAGTTAGGATTCAGCACAATTGGGAAAGAAAGTTCGAATTATACAGTGAGACTCATAAAACTCTGGAAAGGAAACACACCATTCGTGTTGTGAATTTGATGTTGTTAAAGGCAAATATAGTTAAAGATGCAACAGATGGGAGTTAATCAGTCAAGCATAGATATCATAACTACTTTCAATTATGGATCAAAGGAAAGGGGGTTTTATTTTTAGCGAACACTTCAGGTTATCCTTAAAGGTCTCAACCTACGTGAGTTAACTTATATCTTTGTAGAGTTTTTGATAATAGGTACTTTGCCAGCGTGGCTCTTTGTCATGTGACAACTTTTCCATGTGCCAAAGTTTCCAAGCAATACTTTGCCAGTTTCCTCGACACAATGTACATGACAAAGTTGCTAAGTAATCATTTTGCCAAGTAAACTTTGCCAGGCGAATACACTTTTGTCAGTTGAAAGTTTTGCCAGTTGAAAATGTTGACAGTTGATAATTTTGCCAGTTGACAATTTTGCGAGTTAACAATTCTGCCAGTTAACAATTTTGCCCATTGACAATTTTGCCATTAAACAATTTGCCAGTTGGCAATTTGCCCATTGACAATTTTACCAGTTAACAACTTAACAGGTGGCAATTTCCCTAGTTAATAAATTGCCAATTAACAGTTTTTCCAGTTCAAATTTTTCTAGTTGACAATTTTGACATTTAAAAATTTGCCAAGCGGCAATTTGCCAGTTGACAGTTGTAAACAATATGTGTTGTATAAAAGCCAACTTGTAAGTTTCCCCTGTATCCGGAGGCTGTTGTATTTCCGTATATATTAGTTAATCTATTCTAATATGTCAACAAGCTTCTTCTTAAAGGGAGTATTCGCGAAAAATACAAAACTTTAAATTGATGTCTTTTTTAGCAATTGTTGCATCTGACATATCTTTGAAGCTGTTTAGAACCGTTTTTTTCAAAATAGTTGCAAATTACAAAATGATCCTCTAATATTGAAATAAAAAAAAATAAAACGAAGGTGCCAATATTTTCTGGTTCTCGATGTTAAAGTCATCTGATTAGAATTGGAATTTTCTTCTGTACGATGTGTTCGTTAAACTACCGGTTGTAAAAATATTTTGTATTTTTATTTTAGAAATATTAGGTTTAATATGCAAACTAATACTGATATTGTTTGCCCCTTTAAGTTTAAACCCACATTTCCTTATGATAAAAAGCATTATTTCTTTTCATCAATGAAATACTATTATACTGGGTAACATGGGAGGGAAAAAATATATCAAAACTGAAATGGAACTTTAAATCATCTAAATAATCTATTTTTAAAATGTTAAAATTCAAACATTTGATTAATTTGAAATTAAGTTTTTATTTTTGGTTTAAAAACTTTTATTGCACAAATGCGACTATAGTTTGTTTACATTTTTCCATCACGGTAATTTGTATTATAAATATTGCTGTATAAAACAATGAACCCTAATGCTATTTTCTATCACGGTAATTTGGCTTATAAATGTTGCTGTATAAAACAATGAACCCTAATGCTATTTTCTATCACGGTAATTTGGATTATAAATGTTGCTGTATAAAACAATTAACCCAAATGCCATTTTCTATCACGGTAATTTGTATTATAAATGTTGCTGTATAACCCTAATGCTATTTTGTGATAAATTGTCCTACAGAAAAAGGAAAAATATATTTTTCTGTGTTTATCTTTTCTGAATAAACCTGAACCAGGATTTTATGTTTTCATCATTCCTTTTAATTGGATTGCTTTCATAAATTGTCCAGCTTAATTATTCCTTAAGAGAAAATTATCAACCCTTACTAAAACATGTAATTTCATAATATTAAGCATACAAGCTAAACGTTATTTGAAAAAGAAAAAACAAAAAATGTAAAATAAAATGTTTTCAAGAAGAAAATGTTTAAACACATCCAGAAATAGAGGTCGTGAGGATGTTTCTTTCAAAATTCTTGAGACAAAAAGATATTTTTGCAAAAATAAATATTATGTTGCGTTCCGAAAATTCACAGCTATCCAAATGTTGCAACTTTACACACGCAAAAATCGATTTGAGTTTTGCCAATTATAAGCCTAAATATTTAAGGGACAGACCGGCTATGTAAGGTAGTTAAACTGAGTATGCAGTGTTGTGGAAAGCTTCTTTAGGATTCATTTGAGACATATAAAACTTTTTAAAGATCTGTAAATCCTGAGTTTCACAGATCTTTGAAAAAACGAATTCTAAAAACGTATCCACCCCAAAGTAGGAGTTTTGAACGTCAAATTTGCACTCAAACTCAGGATTTAAAGATCTTTAAAAAGTTTTATATGTCTCAAATGAATCTTAAAGAAGCTTTCCACAACACTGCATACTCAGTTCAACTACCTTACATAGCCGGTCTGTTCCTTTAAAACATAAGAACAAGTTCTTTTATGTGTACTAAAATATGCAGGATTACTGCACAAAGGATGAGACTGTAAAGACGACTTGAAACTTTTAAAATCAAACAATTACAAAGTTTTATCAAGTTTTCTGCCAGAAATTTAAACTTTTTATGATTTATTTAATGTTTCAGCAAAGAAAAAAAAGTTTACAATTTCTTGGAATCATAAATGTATGGAAACAGAGAGGGTAAATTCCGTACAGTCGTCTCTAAAATCTTTATCTTCTAGACAACCCTGTACCATGTTTAGGGGTCTAAAAGTATAATTGAACTAGTGAGGTAAATAAAAGACTAAGGTGTTGCAAAACTTGAAAGCCGCCCTGTTTGGAAAAGTATGGATCCATGTACACCCTGTATATTCCCTACTCACCGTGGCCAAAGTTGTTTGTAAGAAAAGTAAGGTTAATATGAGACACGTAGGTTCTCTTTATCTTATAATTGGATTGGTTAACCAGTAGTCAGGTTTCCCACAGTAAACAGTTATTAAAGAAATATTATCCAGTGTAAATCCAGTCCTTTTACACTTTTCTATAACATATAGGTCTGGGGGGTCAGGGGGGAATTATTATTCCTTATAAAGAAATGCTATTTACTCACAGGAAAATTTGTAAAAATGGATATTTGAACCCCCGTGAGACCCACTACTTTTGGGTTAACCCCAAACTATTTATTGGAGTGTATATACTACCTTTAAAAACGTAAACAAGTGTTATACCCTTCTCTATAGTTCCCCCATAGTGTTACAATTAAAAGTTGAAGCCTTATTCGGCTTTATTTTGGCAATTCCTATGTGTGTCACCTCGTGGAGCCAGATTATTAGCCTGGGTTTAAAATAGAACATAAGGTCAACGTTGGCTTGGGTTTTCCGCGAGTTCAGGGCATGATTTCTAGAGGATCGTTGTTTCATTTCCAACCGACAAAATATCTTGAATACAACTATGCTAGGCGGTTAAGTTGTCTGCCCTATAGCTATATACCTGCATGAGCAATGAGTTGCCATGCTTGCAGGCCAACCTACTTGCAATCTGAGCTTAGCTATGGGTCCGTATGAAAACTGAAGGGGTTACATCAATGGAACTATCCCTACTCCGAGCTATTGAGCTCATGCTGGTTACAATAGTTTTCCTCTTTGCTTCAGCTAGGGTTACCCCCCTCCCCCTTAGGTATTTTGGGGGGAGAGTTGTTTTTGTCACAATCTTCCTTTCAAAATGCATATGCCTTGATTTTCACGAAGAGAATGGACCATTTCAATGTATTCTAAAATCTCTTAGTTTTCAAATATTTCATCAATTGTAGCTTGCATTCATGATTTAATGATTTCAATTTATAATTACTTTTCATGTTTGCATATTTATCCATGAATGGATCCCATAAATCCGCGATATCTGAACATTTTAGAGGTCACAGTGAACATGGGTTAGGGGCGTCGCAAGCCCGCCTAAGTATTTGTTTGGTCTCAAATTTATGTATAAAATACCCATTTTTCACCAATTTTCCCTCGGATTTTAGTACTTCAACTTAACATTACTAGGACTGAGAAAAAAGAAAATTCTAAGCTGCGGAGCCTAATTTGACTTGAATAAAAGGTTTATGGTGTAAACTCAATATTGCTGACCCCCCCCTGATAACCCACTGTGCCGATCCCCCTCATATTTTAATGGAGTAAAGCACTTGTGAAAAAAATAGTGACGTAATACCGAAATATTTGCTGAAAAATAAAAGTCTTAAATGAAATAATAGAAATCTGTAAATGTCAGAACATCTCCGACTTTTGTTAGGTTTTATATTCTTAGAAATATTCTTTTATTTAAACTGACATCCACACTTGAACTCAGGAACTCAAGAACACCCACACTTCAACTCTAGGAACTCAGGAATATCCACACTTCACCTCAGGAAAGTCATTGTTCATGTTCAACGCTTTTTATTTTAAATGTAAAAAAAATGTTGAGATTTAACAAAGAACAATTTATGAAAAGGCCAAACATAATTTATTTAATTTATTTTTCTTTTAATTTTTCAATAATGAATATTTTGTTCACTAGTAGTGAAGACGTTTCAGCATGAGTTTGATGATCTGCTATAGCATTTTTGTCTTGGGTAATATTTAAGATTTTATTTCAAAAAAAAAATTGTTAAAAAAGGAAATTATTTGTAGTGGTCATTTACACTTTAAAAGGAAAGTTTGCATATAGTTGATATTTCATAATATTTTGAATTTTTTTTTTATATACAATGAATGCACTTAAAACGCCGATTAGTTTGTCCGCCAGGTGTCTCTGCTCTCAATGCTCTTGATGATTCCACATTGCAGAGACACCTAGCGGAAAAAAATCTTTGTTTTAAGCGCATTCTTTTATCTGATCAATAATCTGGAAGATATTGTCGTTTTTCTAGGTTTAAAAATGTTTATCGTGATAATTCCTGGATGACAAAGCTTTTATGGGTATAGTAAGGAATTTTCATCTTTGCATGGAGAGAATCATTTAAAATTACGCGTACAGTCCCTTTAAAACCAGCTTTGTTTAGAACTTTTCGAAATGACTGTTTCTCCTGCTGATGCCATGAATGTGAATAAAGCCTGTCAGACTGAAAAAGGACTTCCTTGTATCTTCCCCTTTGTGTACAGGTAGTGATGTTTATCGTTTAGATTCCCAGCTTTTAAAACCTTTTTATGTAACTTCCAATATTTTATAATTATTTACAACTACTTTATAGGGAAGTTAATGGAATTTTACTTTACCAATGGTTCCTAAGACCAATTTTGCCTACAAAACATCCAGAACGCAGCAAAAAAGTATTTGTACACAATTTTATTGTCATTTCAGATGAAAATCTCGAAGAGCGGGTAGTTATATTACATAATTTTCCCAAGGAACATAAGTAATTTAACGTCCATCTGATGTAGGAATCATGGGTTGGTAATTTCCTATTCATATTTTTATTCAACTTCAAAGCATGGGATAATAAAAATAAAAAATCACAATTTACTATGTAGTTTGGACCTGCCTAACCAGAGTAGGTGGTTTTAATTGGTTGGCCCACTATAAACGAATGAGAATTGCAAAAAAAAACAATGAACATTGTACATTTTAAACATAGGAATGATGGTAAATCAGGAAAAAGGTTATTGGAGGAGGTGAGGGAGTATATAGGAAAGGCCAAAAGGCGGTAAAAACTTTATTCTGTTAAAATTTGCTTTTATTTTATTTTTTTAGAGTTTTTCTATTATTTTTTTCCACGGGCAACGCCGGGCCCTTCATCTAGTCTTTATTATACCCAACATAAAGGAAACATATTACTTTAATAAAAAACGATCGTTTTAACACATAGTTTTTGGTTTGTTTTTGCAAATATTTTCTCTCAGAGTCAAATTTTGACTCTGAGAGAAGATTACTTCAAAAAACGAAACAAAATGATTATTAATAATATATGCAGGGAACGAATCTTCACTACTTGTACTACAAGTGATGGAGATGTGAGACCCTGGTGTGCTACTGCTGTCTCTGCTACCTTGAATCTTCAACATCAAGATTCATGGAGCTATTGTAACAGAGACTGTCCAGGAGGTTTAAAATCTAATTTTGATTTGATTTGATTAAAATAATTCATTTATACATTTCACTGGCTTTGCTTGAGACATTTTGGACCAGCAATTATCTGATTTTGCAACTATTCTGATTTAGTTTGCATTAACCCTGGGACAACATAAACATTTAAAAATTAAAAATACTGCTTTAATGTTTACTTTTAGTTACTGCTGTTAGCAACATTTATGTACATCCTGACAATGCTGTTGGTCAATGCAGTAAGTAAAAATTATTAACTAATTAAACTATAAAAGTGCTATGAATTACTTAGAGGAAGTGAACGGCTAGATATTGTAGCTGACCTGAGAGTGCGGTATTGTAGAGCAATTTTTAGGATTCATTTGAGACCTTTAAGAAATTTTTACGGTTTATAGTTGCTGAATAAAGCTAAATCTTGTGTTTTCCACGGATTTTGGTTAGTAGTGCACTCTTAGCTCATCAACGGTGTCTAGTCGGTCAATGCATTCGCTCTAAATACCTAGATAGGTAAAAAGTATATTATGGTCAATGTGAAAACATTAGAGCACAGGAATGACCAATCACTTTATAGCTAGGTTTGAGAACCTATAACTAGTTAGAATGTCGTCTTCTATACCGCCACAAATCAACAATCATGATTAATAGTATTTTCCAATTTCTTGTTAGAATGTGGAGTTCCAAATGATATAGATCAAGAATCAAGAATAGTTGGTGGATGGAAAACAAGGACAGGGGAATATCCTTGGCAGGTTGAAATATCAGGATAATCTTTTAACACTTCAATTCCTACAGGACGGGTGCCCTGGACCCCTTAATGCTTTTTGGAAATAACTCAAAAAGTGTTGGTCTGAGGACGCTATTTTTTTACTTTTATAACTAACACATGCCCCTAACTTCAATCTTAAAGTGGGGCTTTTATATTTGATGCCTGAGTCCTCAGGCATACTGCCTGAATGCCTTATTTAACCTAAATCTAATATTTAGACACACTTCCAGTCATTGGATTTCAACATTTTTTAAAAGCCTTATAGAAAGCCTTCAACAAAAAGAAGCAGATTGCACAATTTTTGTGTAGAAATTTGTCATATGCATTTAAATATGCATTTAAGGAAAACTGAAAGTGTGCAAATTCCCTTTAAAGGCATCTTTGCAAAGAAATCTACAGTTAAACCCTAAATAAGCAATACATTGAAAGAATTCATCAAATGTCGTATTCTTCACTTTCTGAAAATGGAATGTTGCAGATATATAGTTATTCGATTAAATGATTTTATGGAGCTCTTTAAAACTGTTCCTGCATATTCATAGTTTTTTATTTATTTTCGTAATTACTAAGATTTACGTAAAATAGTATAAAACCCATTGAAAAATTGTCAAGCCAACATTTGATAAATTCTTCAGATGTATGGCTTATTTAGGGTTTAACTATAGATTTCTTTGCAAAGATGCCTTTAAAGGTAATTTACACACTTTCAGTTTTCCTTTAATGCATATTTAGTTTTTGTAAAGTTTGCAAATATTTTTGCATATTCAAATTTGCTTGTTTAAGGGCTTTTCAAAAATGCATAATTTATTATTGTTTGACTTTTCAAAAAGTGTATCAAATGTTATAGATTTGTATCACAATTAGAAATGAGACGTCAGCCTGTATAGGGTTAATTACTTTTAATACCAAATGCTAAAAATTATTCTCTCAGGTTGGATTACTCTTTGGAGGTGACCTGCCAGATAAGCAAATATGTGGAGGAACATTAGTTGGAGATAAATATGTTATAACAGCCGCCCATTGTACTTATAGAAAACTGAAATTCTGGCTCAAAGTTTTAATTGGGGCTACAAGTCTTGCAACAGTTGACCCAACAACAAGCTTTGTTATATCAATTTCAGATATCAGAGAACATCCCAATTTTAATCCTGAACTTTTAACGAATGACATTTCTGTTCTGCTGCTTTCAACTCCTGTTGATTTGAAATCATTTCCCAATATTAAACCAGTATGTCTTCCTTACATCACCAGAATGGCATACTTTCAAGGAGAGTTAGGAATAGTATCTGGATGGGGAACTACAGGAATTGAAAGCCCATTGAATTCTGAACTGTTTGAGGTAAATGTTAAAGTGCTGGGAAAGTCTGATTGTGGATTTGACAGTGGACGAATCACTGATGATATGTTCTGTGCTGGCTGGATTGCTGGAGGTAAAGATGCATGTAAAGGTGACAGTGGTGGCCCTCTGATTGTCAAAGATGACAATAACAATGGTGCTGCCACTCTTATTGGGTCAGTCAGCTGGGGGATTGGATGCGCAGTTCCTAATGCTCCCGGAGTCTTTTCAGACATTACATATTTTATGGAAAAGGGTTGGTTGATTTCTCAGATGCCAGATCTAAACACATGCCCTCCTCCAACCTCATTCACATGGACTATTAAAACTGAACCAGATCCAATTTTACCAGAACATATAACTTCATCTTCAACAGAAATGCCATCTTTACCAGCAATGTCATCTTCATCAGAACTTAGGTCATCTTTATCAGAAATGGCATCAACTTTAGAAATGCAATCTTCCCAAGAAATGCCGTCTTCACCAGAAATTATGTCTTCGCTAGAAATACCATCATCACCAGAAATGTTATCTTCAGCAGAAATTCCATCTTCAACAGAAATTCCATCTTTAACAGAAATTCCATCTTCAACAGAAATTCCATCTTCACCAGAAATGCCATCTTCAACAGAAATGCAATCTGCACCAGAAATGCCATGTTTACCAGAAATACTGTCTTCACCAGAATTGCCTTCTTTGCCAGAAAATTCAAAAGGTTGTTTGACAGAAAATAGTTTACCTGAAGTTTTAGTAGTTTTAAAAAGAACAAGGAACGTAGGGTTTGTTATACTTATTTTTAATTCTTGGAAGCAGTTAAGTAATGGAATTCCATATTTTTACAGAGATCTTTTTTTAAATTAGACGGTACAATTGTTTTAATTCATATTTTGATTGGTATGTATTTTTTTAATGTCAATGTTGTCTAAAGTTTTAAAAAATATCCGCTAAAATCTCTGTAAAAACCGGTGCGTTGAAATTGAATGAACATTTGACAGAGAGTTTTAGTCATGAAACATCTTAAATTATAAAAAACTTTCTGATTTCCCATAATTTAAACTTAATTCCTTAAGAATTATAAGTATTCCATATTGAAGGACCTTTTAAGTGTAAAACCAAAGGAATTTATATAATGCATATAACCACGTACATGTAGACCATGATATTTCAAACTATGAATTAAATAATCTACATTTGAAATATCAAAGGTTTACGTCTAAAGGTCATAAAGATATAGAGATTGAGTTCGTAGCAAAAAACTCAAATCCTTTTTAGCATAAGAAACAACACTAAGGAATTTTGATATATTTTTTTCATGACAAATGTTTCTTTTGAACATTAAACTTTGAATATAGAAATTGCACACAAAATTTAATTTTATTAAGAACCCTAAAACAATAGGAGAGTGAGAGATAATGCAGCATGCCAACAAATATGCCTGGAGGAACCAAGATGTCTGTATTGGGCTTACTACTATAAATCAGAAAAGTTGAGAGGAAACTGTAGACTATTTGGTTTGGAGTATAAAAACATGGAGTACTGGACAACTGGTTCTAGACTATGTTGATATTGGAACAGCATGGATTGGACAAAAATATTTAAATAGTATAATCAATTATTATTCAATCAAAAAACATACTTTCATTTAAACAATATATTTCTAAACATTGAGCGAATTTTGATTTGTGTTTATTGAAAGGATTTTTTGTAATTTCAGATAAAAGGGAGAAAATGAAAAAATAACAGTTTTCAGAGCTTGATTGGTGGATCTTGGTATCTACAGTGGACATTTTTGAATCTTACGCAAAGTGCTTGCATGATCTTTTGATTTTGGATACCCAATATCTGGGCTCTCTCCTTACATAAACGACAAATTCTCTGGCTTCTGATTGGCTGTTTACGGGATACCTATATGGACACTTCACAGGACACTCCTGTATGCCGAGTCCATTAGCACTTAATTCAATCAGGGTTCAGTCATGTGTTTGTTGTCTACTCAGAACCATTAGAAATAGTATATATGGCCGTAACATCTATCTTTCTATCTTTCTCATTATCCAATCAGTGCTATGAATCCTACAATCGGCGCTATCAGTAAATGAGCATATTTTCTGCTATTGAAACTATATATGTGGGGATATCAAATAAGGATTGATAGCTGTAGATTGTATAAAGATCAAAACAAGCATTAATATCGAAATCCCCAATTTACAAGAGTTTCATTCATCTAAACTTCTAAAGTGCTAATTTCGTTTGAACCCAAAAGGTCCATCTTCCCCCCTTCCACGCTTGTTTTAGTAAAAGTACACAGTTTCGTTTACTGTCTAATACTGATTTCAGGATTAATATCTAATTGGATAACAAGATAGATAATAAGATGGATCAGTGGCGTAAATAAGGGGGGTTATTGGGGTTATTTTCCCCCCCCCCCCTAGAATCCTGGGGTTAAATACCCCCCCCCTNTTTACCCCCCCCTACAGAATCCTTATATCCGCCCCTCAGATGGATGTTGCCACTGTTGCATTTTCTTATGGTTCTGAATTGTCACGTGACTGAACTCTGATTGGATCTGACGCTACCAGAGAAATGAAAAAAGGAGGGACCACCCTTCTTGCTTTTTTCAAACAATTTTATTAAGTAGATATACCCAATAGGCTTTAAAATGACATTAAGCTACAAATTCAAATTCTTCGTTTTTGAATAACCATAACAAATGGCGAAGAAACATGATATTTATTTTAAAACCGATTTTGCGATGAACATTAATTTTAGCTTAATATAATAATTAAATCCATAACAGGGCCATCTATAATCAGAAAGAGGTTTTGGGAATCAGATAACTCTACTGGTACTCTAGACTACAACGATAATCTAATGACAACCTAAACTATATCTGTCAACTGACTACCATATAAAGATGTACAATATACATAGACCTCACTACTAACTATACTGTGTGGGTGTAGAGTACTTATTCAAAATAGTAGGATAGATAGATAGTTATATAAAGAGGTACCCACAAAGGATTATACTTTGATGATAATATGTAAACTTCGACAAACTAGAGAACTAGAGAACTAGAAGATTAGAGAACCAGGAAACCAGAGAACTAGAGAACTAGAGAACTAGAGAAATAGAAAACTAGAGAACTAGAGAACTATAGAACCAGAGAACTAGAGGATTAGAGAACCAGGAAACTAGAGAACTAGAGGACTAAAGAACTAGAAAACCAGGAAGCTAGAGAACTAGAGAACTAGAGAACTAGAGAACTAGAGAACCAGAAAACTAGAGAACTAAAGAACTAGAGAACTAAACACTAAGTACTAGAAAACTAGAGAACTAGAGAACTAGATAACTAGAGAACTAGAGAACTAGAGAACTAGAGAACTAGAGAACTAGAAAACCAGGAAACTATAGAACTAGAGAACTTGAGAACTAAAGAACTAGAGAACCAGAGAACTAGAGAACTAGAAAACCAGGAAACTAGAGAACTAGAGAACAAGAGAACTAGAAAACTTGATAACTAGAGAATTAGAGAACTAGAGAACTAGAGAACAAGAGAACTAGAGAACTAGAAAACTAGAGAACTAGAGAACTAAATAACTAGATACTAGAAAACTAAAGAACTGGATAACTAGAGAACTAGAGAACTAGAGAACTAGAGAACAAGAGAACTAGAAAACTTGATAACTAGAGAATTAGAGAACTGGAGAACTCGAGAACTAGAGAACTAGTGAACTAGAGAACTAGTTAACTAGAGAACTCGAGAACTAGAGAACTAGAGAACTAGAGAACTAGAGAACTAGAGAACTAGAGAACTAAATAACTAGATACTAGAGAACTAAAGAACTGGATAACTAGAGAACTAGATAACTAGAGAACTAGAGAACTAGAGAACTAGTGAACTAGAGAACTAGTGAACTAGAGAACTAGTGAACTAGAGAACTCGAGAACTAGAGAACTAGTGAGCAAGTGAGCTAACCAAGCTGCAGGAGAAAGAAAAATTAGTTTGGTTGAGAGGTATATTTAGATTTCTATTGCAGAAGAGAAAACTCATTTATTATTTTAATCTTATCTTGAAAACACAAACATACAATCAGAAACCACTCTTGCAATTACGTGGGCCAAACCATGGCATACATTTCTTTCTCTGAAAGACCAATCAATAGTAAATTATCATAAAATTTTTATCAAAAATAATTTAGTTATAGTAACCATGTTTGTTTTGTGAATGTAAGTTAAATTTGTGTATGGCATTTCTCTGAAGCACTAAAAAGTGTCAACCCAGACCAAAAAATATTTTCAAAAATGTGGAACTAATATTTTTAACTTTGTGAGGTTTGCAGCATCATTAACACCGAATTCTAAAAATATTTACCGTTTAAGGCCGTATACATCTAACGAACACAATTTAAACTGTTCTTTAAGAGAATTAACAAAAACAGTCCTAAGCGATCAGTGATTAGAATAGTGTGGATGTATAGAAACGTGCTCCTAGTGTTTGGAAAAAATGAACAACGAACAAATGATCTAATTTTAACGAACGTTGAACTATTTAAAAACCAAGAAAGTGCCCTGCCCTAATAGAAAAAAAAACTTTTGAGTGCATACGTAGAAACATAAAGTTTCAAATATATGAAAAATGTCGTCTTTTAAACGTTTATTTCTTCAAATTTTAACATAAAATAACATATTTTGATTCATTCAATAGTACTTCTGCATTTAATTGCTTGCAATGCATGTTAGAATAAGACTAGGGATAGTTGTTTATCTGTAATGAGTGGGCTAAATGCATCATGAAAACACAAGTGAATATAGTGAATAGGATATTTATTCATTACTCGAGAATTAGTCTTAAATCTCATTAAAGCTCATTAAAGGGGTTGTAGGCGTAATGTTTAACCCTTTAAAAACCCATATATGATAATGATAATCTATATAATAAAACAAGACATTCGTTGATATATATGTTGCCTATCGCCGGCCAAACGGCTGGACCGATTGGGCTGAAATTTTTTGTGGACACTTAAGAGTGACCGGGGGGTGTTATAAATTTTATTCAACAGGCACCGCCGGGCCTTTCAACTAGAAATAATTATAATAATGTCGTTTATTGCTAAATATTGGTTAAATTTACAAAATTTTCAGAAAATAAAAAACTAACTTTCTATTCTGTCAATTCATTAATTGTTTCTGTAGCAAAATATACTTCATAAAGAAACCACAATTAAAATGATGATTTGACTATTAAAAATCATAACTTGAGTCAAAATCATTTGAGTCCAAATCGGTTTTCTGGTTCTTACTGTACAGTGATAACTGTACAGACATTCGTATATATATATATATATATATATGTTGCGTATGAAAGACACAAAAAAATTTCAATTTATTTTTCAAAATTTTTAAATTATTTTTTTTCCACGGGCAACGCCGGGCCCTTAAGCTAGTGTAAAATAAAAGTTTAACAAAAAATTCTGCAAAATATGTTTTGTTGTCTGAAATTTTATCTCATGAAGATGAGCTTAAAGGAACTATAGGCGTAATATCAAATGGTAAATTCATATCGGAGTAACCTTGAGAAAGATATCGTCGTTTTTCCATTTTATAAATGTTAAATTCTGACAAGTCATTACTTGTTTCTTTAGTATAAATACTTTTAAAAAGAAACCGCAGTTGAAAATAATTAATTTTTCCGGTAGATCAAATAATCACGCACCTTTGCACCTTTAGTAAAAGTAAATTCAACCTGTATGACCGCGTTAACCTTGTTGAACCGGCTAGTCCTGTCCAAAGTACTAGGTACAGTACAAACTGGGACCGGAAAGGTTGACCCGACTCGGAAATTCAAATGTACTACGGCTGCCCTTGTAATATCTTATTCATTATTGATCAGACTAAGACTTGGTAACTACTTGTACCATTGTAAATTAATTGCTGCCACATGTAATCCAACAGTTGCAAGCTATCACGCAAAAATCGATGTGAATTTTCCCAATTATTTCTTAAAACCTAACGCTTAAAACAAATGTGTGACAGTTCTAAAATGTACTTGTCTAGAACTATAAAAAACATATTTGAGTTAGGAAGATGAAATCAAATGCCAAGGGGGTGTGTATTCAGAGTCAAATCAGTCTTAACAATTGATGCATCGTTTCAAAGCAGTCTGGATCTAAGTGCTACAGTCCCGTTAAGAGATGGAAAACTTCTTTAAAAAGTCCCGTATACTATTCAAAAACGATCGTTTTTCGGATCGTTTTCGGGCTTTTTATTTTTTCGTGTACAAAAGTTTAATAAAATTAAAGTAACTCATAATACTGCTTTAACATCTTTAATGTTTTATTATATTTTTTTGCTAAAAACGATCCAAAACGATCCAACACTATTCACAAGCAAAATAATAGATTTTATTTTGTTTGTCGAATAGTTGAACAAATAATAAATGCTATATTTAAGAAGATGAAGGAAGAAGAACATTAAATGGAAATTTTAAAAGATTTATGAGACAAAACATTTGATAATACTTTTTCAGTGCTAGCTATAAATCTAGTATTTGATAAAAGATATTTAATTTTCTTGTTTTATGACTCCAACAGGTGCCACCATATCTAAAGATGGACATCGTTGTTGTGAAAGAACCAGCAGTTTTGAGAACGAACGAAATTTTTGTGAAGGATGGTG